GGCCCTTTGTTAGAGACAGCACTCCAAGTTGATATGAAACCATTACTGACTTTGTTTTGGAACAAGGCATTAATTAAACCAGTTCTGAATCTTCATAACTTTACTATCATTTAGCTAACCTCTCTCCATCTGGTCCTCAAGGATAGTATGACAGATTTTGATAAATGTTTTACTAAAAATCTAGCCAGCCTCTACAGCATTCTCTTTATCTAGCAGTCTAACAAGCCTGTTAATCCAACTTCTCCCATTTTACAAATTAGGTATTACTTCCATATCTATCCAATCTAAGATTCTATACACCTGCCATCTAGCATCCCCTAACATAAAGGCTGTAGGAGTTCAAAGATAAAAGATAAAGAAAGGCTGGAATAGTTAGAGCAGGCTTCCGGAAGTGGTAAGCTCTGCCTAGCTAGCAAATAACTAAATGCCCAAGCTCGCCTAGGTGCCTAGCCACCTCCTCAGAACTATCAACCTTTAAGCTAAAGCCTAGCACAGTAGACTATAACAGTAATAGAACAGCAAGCCTAGTCAGGCTGACCTGGTCTATCTCCAGGCTCTGCCCCTCTCTCTCCAACTCTACCCACCTGCCCTTACCCTTGGCCCCAGCCCAGTTCCGGGAGCCACCCAGAGCTAAAAACAGCACAGCCCCCAAGATGGCAAGGCCATTTATAGTGCTGGAGGCGTCAGCAATGGGCTGGGCTGCCAGGAACTTGCTTCAGTAAGGCCCCAAAGTAAGAGCCCAGCCTGCCTTTCAGCACAATTTCACAGGCAAAGGATCATAGAGTTAGAGCTAGAAGAGACTCTAAGAGATTATCTAGTTCGAATCCCTCATTTTCCTGATGAGAAAACAGGCCCAAAGTAAGGACAGGACTTGCCCAAAGTTACACAAGTAGTAAGCTGTAAAGCCAGAACAAAAAGCAGGGGACTCTTTTTTCCCTTTCTTTGTATCCCCAATACTTTAGCAGTGTCTGGTGCTTAGCAAATGCTAGTTAATTTACTGGTTTTCCACCATACCACCCTGCCTTTATTGAGCTCTATAAATATAACAGCCTCCTGGGGAGAGGAACCTTTCTCAAGCATCTTGGACAAGACTGTTTGTACAGCAGCTCTTGGTCTCAACCAAATTCAAAGTTAGAGGGCTATAAATTGGGATGAGAATCACTGCTCCAACCTACCTCTAGTCCCCAGATCTCCCAAACTTGGTCACTATTACTCCGACCCTTCACATTCAGCCCTAGAATTTTCTGAGAACTCAAAGACATGTTCTGCCCAAAAGACAGACAAGCTCAGAGCCTAGCCTGCTGAAAGCACCAGTTTCCAAGCAATTTTAAGGAATGCAGGATCAGGACTAGCTGAGTAAAGCACCATGAAATACTGATAATGTGAATTAGAATCCACCTGAGTACACTTATCAGGGCTGGCCTTACCTTATTAATGCCTGGACTGGGACACCATTTGTACCCACCCATCTACTCATGAGGGCACATCTTTCTGTGCCTCAAATGCCTGTTAAATAAGAGTTGGGTCTGGGTTTTGGATAGAGCACCAGCCCTGTGGATAGAGCACTGGCCCTGAAGTCAGGAGGACCTGAGTTCAAATCCGGCCTCAGACCAAACACTTGAAATTTACTAGCTGTGTGACCCTGGGCAAGTCACTTAACTCCAATTGCCTAAAAATAAAAATAAAAAAATCCTGCAAAAACCATTATCCTCAAACACACACACACACACACACACACACACACACATACACACACACACACAACTAGAAGGGAAAAGTCCTAGACTGAGAAAGCAAATCTATCTCTACCTTCTTGACGGATGAGAATGGCATGACTTATAGAGCTAAAGGGAACAAGAAGAACTAGGATCATTTTCCAGGGCAGAGGATGAGATCCCTGATTCCCTCACACTGTTACCTCTCCAGTTGGCACCACCTACATACAAAAAGGCTCCAAGACTTATTCTACTCAGGAAAACATCAACTTCTCCAGATCACACCAAGTTCACATAGGCCACACAAGGTCACCCCATCCACAGATTCAACTGCCCCAAGGTAGGTCCCATAAGAGAACCGGGCATTGCAAAATAGAAAGCAAGTTATTCCCAAAACAGATTCCCTAACTGCCATGGAACTCTGAGAAGGGAAGTCTGCTCCCTGGCATTCTGAGGGGCACAAAGAAAAACTAAAGTACCCTTTCCTCCCAAGCTACCCCAAGGAGTTCTTCAATTAGCACCTCCCCCAGTTACCTTTACACAACTGTTTAATCAATCAATACACATTTATTAAGAGCCTACTATATGCCAGGCACTGTGCTAAGTTCTGGGATATAAAAAGAGGTAAAAGGGGCAGCTAGGTGGCCCAATAGATAGAGCACCGGCTCTGGAGTCAGGAGGACCTGAGTTCAGATCCAACCTCAGAAACATAATACTCACTAGCTGTGTGACTCTGGGCAAGTCAATTAACCCCCAACTGCCTCACCAAAAAATAAAATAAAATAAAAATTAAAAGAGGTAAAAGACTGTCCCTGCCCTCCAAGAGCTTACAATCTAATGGAGAGACAACACGCAAAGAAATATATATAAAGCAAGCTATACACAGGATAAACAGGAAATAATTAACAGTGGGAAGGCACTGGAATTAAGAGCGGTTGGGGAAGGCTTCCTGTAGGCATAGTTAACTGCCTCTCCTGTCCCCAAGGAAAAAACTAGAGTCAGATATGCAATATAAATAACTACCACTTCACATTTATGAGATAACAGATCTACTGAAGTATATTTAAGATTTATATAGTACTTTCCTCACAACTCTATGAAGAAAGTAGTGCAAGTTTTAATTACTCTCACTTTACAGAGAAGCAAGGGCAGTTAGGTAGCCCAATGGCTAGAATGCCAGGCCTGGAGTCAAGAAGATTCATCTTTCTGAATTCAAATCTTGCCTCAGATACTTACTGTGTGACTCTGGGCAAGTCACTTAACCCTGTTTGCCTCAGTCCCTCATCTCTAAAATAAACTGTCGAAGGAAATGGCAAACCACTCCAATATCTTTGCCAAGAAAACCCCAAATGGGGTCACAAAGAGCCAGACATGACTGAACAACAAATTACAAAGAAGGAAACAAAAAGTTCAGAGAGGTTAGATGAGTTGTCCATGTTCCCATAAGCATAAGGGCTAGGATTCAAACCTAGTGTCCTCACTCCAAATCTAGCACTTTCCCCCATCCTACCATCCTGAGCCCCAATTCCAAGATAAAGCTATCTAGATGAACAATAGTAATCTGTGCACTCAGTACTGTACAGTTAATACCTGCAGCTTTCAACAACCTGGTTGGAGGGGAGGGAGGCAGTCTCACAATAATTTAAGGACAAAAATGAAAGTTTTAGGCTCAGATGTAGAAAAGGTCAAAGCCCAGATATGAAGAAAGATGTAAAGAACACAAAAAGGCCTGTAGGTAGATTGGTCTAGGGTCTAACAGGGCCAGTTGTTAAGCCTAGTAGAATAAGCTGCAGCCTCTAAAATAGGATTTCAAGCAATGCTTGCCCCATTGCCTCCCAGAAAGGGGGGGAAAACTACCTGCTTCTGCCTAAAATTCTACCAACAGCAGCACCTCATTAGCTTAAGGTTCTGAGCCCTGCTACAATAGAGGGAACCACCTGGGAGGAGAGAATCTTTAACATGAGTTGACAGTAGTTTTGGATGGTTTACCATTTGCCTACTTCACAATCTTACCTCTTAAGGGTACTGATCATCCAACAGCCCTGAGTGAGCACTACCATGGAGAAGTAGGGGTCTGTAGCATAGATGGATAAGTATTACACACATTAAGAGCCTATTTATAAAGCAATCATAAACTACAAGTGGATGTACTGACTTCAAGGGCCTATCTGTCCAAATCAGAGAAGCCGTGTTCATAAGGTTCACTCCATTTGGAAAACAGACAGACATTTCTACTCTTGGGGGAGAGTCTTGAAACCTATTCCAGCAAAGAAAGTTCAGGGAGCCACAGGACAAAATAAGAATCTCTAAATCCCACTACTCCATACGATGACAGCAGTTCTGTAGCTCCCAGGAAACCACGAGCTACATTCCTTTTTCATGCTGCTAATGAAAGGGGCCCAGACACCCCGAGATCACCATCAAACCCAGCCCATGTACTCTTTCAACTCTCAGAGCTCAGTACTCATGCACAGTGACAGATATGAATGTCCTAGGCCAGCTGGTGCCATGGTTCTAAGAGAACCTCTGTGGAAGTAGGAAGAGGGAAGGAGAATTATTTTTTCACCTCCTGAACTCACTGTAAAATCAACTAAATTAAATGAACGTTCTTTAGTACCATTACCTGACAAAGACCTGCAAGCCTAGAAAAGAAAACCAGGACTCATATACAACCCAGAACTATAATGCTCTCCAATAAAGCAGTGAGAGGGAGCTCTAAACTCTTCCTTACACCAACACCCTTACCATGAATCTCACTTTTAGGTTGCTCTCAGGGTTGGCTAACTGCTTGCATGACAAAGTCAAGGGAAAGACACAGAACTTAAGGGAGAACAGGCTCTCTATAGGCTGTCAAGGGAAAAAGCCTTCATATAAAAGAGGTGGCCTTCCTGGGAGAGATGGGACAGGATCCCTCTGAGCTGGTTTCTTTAACCACAAGGCAGACTATTCCTCAAAGCTGGTAATGCTTAAACCCACTGCAGATGGCTGTCCTAGCTACTAGTCTTTCATCTAAATCATTTCTCCTGGACGAGGGATACTGGGAAGAGGTCTTGAGTGACTGAGGCAAAGAGGGCCCCCCTTTAACACCAAACACAAAGCATTCTGAAGAGCATTAAAAGATGAATTCTCAACAGAGCTTAGGCATTTCTGGGCCCCTGAAAAAGTAGCTAACAAGCAGAGTCCAGAAGGTCATTTCTCTACAAATTTCGGATGAGAGACTTTAAAGGCCAACACCCCCACCACCAACTCAGAGGCAGTCTCCATTTCTCAGCCCCCGTGTCTTACCTGCCACTGCTGATTCCTCGGGGCTGGCTCCTGGAGGCTTCTCTCCTAGGCCATGGTGCAGAAGGAGCGCCCATAAAAGCCAGACTGCCAGGCCAGGGGTCACATCCATGGCTGAAGGCTACGCGGCCGGTAAGAGGAGCCTGGACGCCCTCTCCTTCAGCATTCGGCCTAGCCCGGCCCTCAGCACACCGCGCCGCTCCCGCTCTCAGCCTCCCAAGGCACCTCCGCAGCCCAAAGCTGGGCAGGAAGAGGGCAAGAGGGTGAAAGTCAAGTGTTGGGGTTCCTCGTACCCCAAGCCCGCAGAAGATCTCCGCTAGCTCCGGGCACGCCTCAAAGTCCTGGGGCTTCGCAGTTTCCTCTCCAGTACCAGAATACTGTCAGTCTGTCTGTCCTGCCAGCGGCCGCTATCGGGAAAGGTCAGGCTCTCCGAGCCGGGGGTGGGGGTATCCGGAGCCAGGGCCCCGTCTCAGCCTAATTCTGCCCGCAGCGAGCGGCAGCGACGGCCTGGACGCTCCAACTCCTCGCAGCTGCTTTACCCCCCTCCCCCCTCCCAAAGCACTTGCCGCTTCCGGAGAGTTTAAGGAGGGAGGGAGGAGGGAGGGAGCCTGTGGAGGCCGTGTCAGCGGCGTCGCCGCCCGCAACGACGCCCCCCACCTCCCCACCTGGAAGGCCACGAGTTCACACGCTAGCAAACTGAGTGCGGCGCCAGGGGACTGGAGGATGCGGGACAAGAAAAACCACTGCTCTCAAAGGACCCTAGCCCCTAAGGAGACTCCGGGATGCCCTCCTGGCCAGAAGAGATGGGACCTAAAGTTCAGGGTGTTCGGTCCCTGAGACCGGTCCTGGCTCAGCCCTCCCCAGGGAACGCACGGACCGACGGTGCAGGCTGGTCAGAAAACTGGGCTAAGCGCGCCCCCCCCCGCTGTCTGGCTTGGCACCCAACAGGAAAGGACAGCAGCAGCCTCAGCTGCAATCCGTCCCGAGCTTTTGTACAGCTCCAGCCCCTTCAGCCCCCCTGAGCACAGCACCGACGGGGCTGGCTCTGGACCAGGTGGGCTAGGGCAGAACAGCTCCCGGATCCCAAAGCCCTCCCCGAATTGAGCGCAGGACGGGCGGGGGAAAGGGGGCGGAGAGAAAGGAGCTGGAGCCCCACCCCCTCCTTCAAGGCCGGCCTATCCTGGGACGCACTAACGCATAAGCCCCGCCTTCTGCCCGCCCAGCCGAGCCATTCTCCCTGGATAACCCTGCTCTGGCCAGCCTCCTCCCGGGTAGCCCGCAGTACTGCAGGCCTCCGCTGGGACAGGCCTTTCTCTGGATTCCCTACGGCTATCCGGCCGTCCAGGCCCCAGGTCGTTCTTTCTTAGCACTAGAGCCCTAAGTCTAGTCTTACCCTACCGTGGGGGTGCTCCAAGGATCCCTCTGCCCCCACCACTACCACCACACACGCACAGTGGTCTCTTCCAGAGTCCCTCTCTCCCCAGCACCTCCCTCCCACCGGCTCCGCACGATGAGCCGTTCCCGGGAGCCCTCCCTTCCCCCTCCAGTGAATGGGCTCTCCCGCGATAACCGCCTCGCCGTGGGGCGGGAAACCGAGAGTTTGATCCGACCGCTGATCCCGCCCCCACAGCGAGGCTCAGAATATTGGATGTGACAGGATGAGGCCAGGACTAGGGCCTCTTCCTCCCTCCCTGATACCGTCTAGGCCACCACCCAGCAGAGAGAAGCGACAACGGTCCGGCCCAGCGCGCGACCGTCGCGCGCTCCCGCCCGCCGTCCGGTTCCTCAAAGCCTCGCCCACTCCTCCGCACCCTGTAACCAATGAGAGCACGCTTCCTCTTCACAACCGGCCTAGGGGATCCACCCACCGTCGGGGCTTCCTAACCAATCGGATCCCATCTCGTTTGCACAGCGGCGCCTGCGCGCCAGCGTTCCCTAGTGGACGAGTTGAGGAGCTTCAGGGCCAGGCACGTGCCAGAGCTTGTAGCAGGGATCAAGCTGTGTGACAGAATTCCTTGAGTATTATTATCGAGGTTTTCTAGGGTAAATATTGCTAGGTGCTTAAAGGAATAAGTATCTCCTCCCTACTGGGCAGAACATGTGCATTTTAATTTTCTTCCAGCTGTGGTAGATTGAATTCTGCTATGAGCCATCCACTCACTTTCTCTTTTCTAATCTGATCCCCCTTGTCAGTCATTAAGAACTTACCATTGTGTCAGGTACATAAGTAAACATTGAGGAGGCAAAGAAAGGTAAAAACACTGTCTCTGCCCTCACATTCTAATGATGGAGGCCTCGTGGCCAGACACTTGCAGCAGACCGGAACAATTTGCTAACGAATGTACTAGGCCAGGGTGAGACATCATCCCATTCATGACTTCAAAGAGCATTTTTTAAACACCTACCCAATGCAGGGCCCCATACCAGTCTCTAGTGATGCAAAAACTTGCCTTAGAATGAAACTGGCCAGGCTCCTGAGTAACTGAGTAACAGATAAGAAAATATAAAGTAACTTGGAGAAAATTGTCTACAATAAAGTGGGACCTGGGACAGACACAAAGTTTTGATAAGTCATGTTTCCTGCCCTCAGTCTTGCAATCTAATAAAAGGAGAAAGTAAAATTGAGAGAATAACACCTGAGCTACCTTCTTGATTGGGCAGTTGTGAAGAGCAAAGGAAGTAATAGACAGGAAAATGCTTTGAAAACTGATAAAAGTAAAATTCTTTGTTATAAAGAAAATCCAGGAAATCAATAAAATTTACTTTAAAGGAAAGCAATAAAATAAATAAAATAACAAAGGAAATAAATAAAATTTATTTTTAATTGTTAAAAGAAAAACTGATAAAGCACTTCACAAATATGAAGGGATATTATTTGCTAAGTTCCCGCTATGTTCAAGGCACTGATTTAGGTGCTAGGAAGACAAAGACAAACTTGAAGCAGCTCCTGACCTTGGGGATTACATTCTAATGGACATGATATAAAATGGGGATACCATGGTAGAAGTGGCAGTTGTGGTTTAGTAGAATATACTGGTTTTAGAGTCATCGGAGCCAGATTTAAATTCTGAAATTGAGATCAGCTTTCCTACTAGCTGTATGTCCTTGAGGAAGGTCCCTTTGCTCTCTGTTGTCCAGTTTCCTCATCTACAAAATGGGGCTAATAATGTGCTCCTTTTCTCACAGAACTACTGTGAAGAAAGTAGCACAGAAATGGAAGTTATTATTAAGCTTTAGAGATCACCTACAATACTGAATCTTCAGAAATTTTGATGTGGGACTAAACACTATAGACTGCCTATCTAACTACTTGCCACAGTCTTGTAAAAACAGATATTTAAAAATATGTTTTTTCATGCAATTTGCTAGGCCAAGCTCTTTTGAATATCCTTGGATCTCACTGAGGAGGCTCTAGTATTACAGAAACTGTAGAGAAATGCACCATCCATAGAGGATCCCTCCTCCATTTGGATTCTTCACAAATGATCTACCACAAGACTATGGAACTTCTTTGACCAGGCCACATGTTCCCGTTTCATGTTTCGCTTGATTATAATAATGATGATAATAATAACTACTTATTATAAATGAGATACTATAAAAGTGCTTTCCAAACCTTAAAGTATGATATTTATAATCAGAAGATTGTCAAACAAAGTTTTCTCTGTGGTTATAACTATCAAGGAATCTTATATGCCTTTAATATAGCTAGGCTACAGAACATTAGCAATGATGACTTTTATGCAAGAAGTTACATAATGATAACAGGAATGTATCTATAATTTCAATGGTATGAAGAGCTCCAGGTGAAGAAATTCCCTCCATGAATGCAGGCTGGCAATTTACAGTTTTAGATTTAAGTAGAAAACTGAGAGTTTAGTGACTTACCCAGGGTCAAACAAGCCAGTGTGTGTTGGGGGCAGGATTTGAACCCAGATTCTTCTGACCTTTAGACCAGCTCTTTATCTACTACACCATGCTGTTTAGTAAACATCATACAGAAAATATGGATTCAGAAAAGGAGATTCCTATAGCAAAAGTGAGAGAGATAACAGATGAACAATCTGAGTGCTGCAGAGGAACCTACAAAATGTTAAAAGAACTAAAGAAAGCTCTCCAGTTACTGAGGATTTAAGAGAGGATGAAGACAAGAATCCCATGAATGAGAACTCAGAGAGGGGTTAAGATTAGCACTAATGGAGTGAGCATCCAACATGAGATCACAGATCCATTAAATTATTAAAACCTAGGTTTGTAGGGAGAATCAGAAAGCTCCCATTGTGAGGACTGCCTCCAGTCTCCAACTATAGTGCATGTGATGCCCCCTGGTGCCTGAAGCAGCAGCTTGCAGCTATGACTGAGCTGGAAAAAGAATGAAGTCTGTAGTCTCCTTATTGTATCTTCATGCATGCCTTACTCTTTACTCGGTCATAAAATTTGCATGCTGGGCCATCACCAGTCATCTTGACTTTTGTCTTGCCACTAGACTTTGATGATTCTGGAGGAGACTTTGAGCAGCTCTGCCTCACTTAAATCCAACTCACAAGCAAGTCAACACATCACCCTCATGATGTCATTAGTCCTCTTTGAGAACAAAGGATGAACAACAATCACAAAATTCATAGAAGCATAGGATTTAGAATTGGAAGGGTCTTTAGCTATCACCTAGTAAAATATCCTCATTTTAAGATGTGAGAAAGATTAAGCCCAGAGTAAGACAATCATTAAACAGACTACGACATACAGTTAGATGGGCAGTCCATGGAATCCATCCAATTAGTATTTGCATCTTATACAGGTACTGCAGATTGATAATCAGCTTAGTTTAGCTTAAGTTTAGATAAGAGGACAGGCAAGCAAAATACACTCGTGCCTAATCTTCATGGCAAGAGTTTAAGGCCTCTACCAGATTTCTATCTTCTTAACAATCCCTCTGCCTCCAGACAAAGGCCCTTCCCTTATACTTCAGGGTAGAAGACAGGAAAGACAGCATAGTTCAGTCAAATAATCCCTGGATTTTAAGTGAGAGGACCTGAATTCAGATCATCTGTGCCAATTCCTACTGTTGTGATCTTGGGCAACTTCGCCTGTCTAGACTTCAGTTTTCTCATCTACAAAAAGAGAGGTTTGACATAACTACAGGGAACTGACTGATAATGATACATGATTCCCACCTCCAGACAAGAGAAGTGATGGACTCCAAATGCAGAATGAGACATACATTTTTGGACATGGCCAATGTGGGAATCTGTTTTGTTTGACTGTACATATTTGTTACAAGGATTTTGTTTTGTTTTGTTTTCCAGTTTGGAAGGGGAAGTTGGAAGAGACAGAAAATAAATACTTGTGAGATGAAAAAGAAAAAAAGAAAGGATTGGACCAGATGATTTATTGGGTCCCTTAAAGCTCTAAATCTATGAACCTATGATCCTAAGTCACCTTTCCAGGACTAAGCTCTCTCACCCTTCAAAATGAGGAAATTTTATTAGATGGCCTTGAGGTCCCTTATAGTTCTAAATCCTATCATCCTATGAACCATGGTTCCCAATCTCCCTTGATCACCCCTTCCAATGTCATGGTCAGGAAATTCTCTCTTGCTAATCCTTCCTGCTAAAATCTGAGTTCTGCATCACAGAAAAAAGCTTTCCTATGTCCTTGTCTTCTTCCTACTCAGTCACCTAACCAGAGATCTCAGGCAGGCAAGGAGGTACTGACCTGGGCAGGGAGAAGGTAGATTTTTCATTCATTTCCAAGGTTCCAGGATATCAGCATCACCTCACCTCAAGTTGCTTTTCCACAAGAGACAGTATCCAAAGCATCTTTTTTTATCTATTCCTCTAATGCCTAGCACAGGACTC